ATATAGTAAAACCTATTGAAAGACTTTAGAGAAAAAGGTACTAGCGCTATATCCATTATGGTTTTTAGTAAAATCATGCCGAGCAAGTCAATAAAATAAATGGAAATTTGAAATCCTGCCTAAAGAAGTACATGCAATCAGACGACATGCTAAAGTATACGATACCCTTTATTGATAGGTACAATTAAATACTCGATAGATATAAATACTTTCAGGCAAATATTTGAAACTTAACTCTTTCATAAAACAGTTTTAAGCAACATTTGAAAAAGTACTGATGCACCAATACCAAGTTAGAAAATAAAGCGCCGTTCGGTAATTTCGAGGGATTAATGATGATCGCATCATTATAAAAATAAATTTCATAATTCTCATGTAGATCGCTTTCAAGGAGTTTTTGTTCTAAAACTGAGCAAACAATCCACGGATATGAGGAGAGTATATTTTCTTGCTTGTGACGCCCAGTTTGAAAACATACTTTAATCACACTTCTCGTTGCTTGACTATTTTCAAGCTCCATATCCTTAATTTTTTAATATTTCCATCAGTTGAAAAGGTCGGAGGTCATCCAGAACGAGGCACGTTTTCAACGACCTCTCGAGCGTCTTTGAAGGCTTTGTACCAATCATAGGCTTGCCTTTTCCAACGATTTCCCAATAAAAAGGTGATCATTATTGACAAGAAAAGTGGAGCCTTAAGAAACGTGAGAATCTCTTGGTAGTGATTAATTATTTGCGGGCATTGCATTTGTCGTCTATAAAATATTTTTTTAGAGGACATTTTTTTGTTCCGATTCTTTATCCTCGATCAATGTTGATCATCTGAGATTTTGTGGAGCTCAGAAGAAAGTCTCATGTGCCTACAGATGGTCACGTACTTTGTGAAGATAGAATTTTTAGACATATAGTATATATTCAGGGTACAGCTTTACATTTCGATCTTCAGAGTGAATATACAAGTTTAAAGTTTTCAAACACCAAATACTCATTGTTAAAGCTGTATTAGTTTATTGGTGGTGAATACTTACGTAAAGATTATTTGCTGCTTATAAACATTTTAGTGTATAAAAAATGAGGCGGCACATTTTTAAAACTTTCCGGGAGCTATCATGAATTTTCGATTTTTTGTGGGTAAAGATAACACTTTTCTTACTTTGACCTTTCACTCTCAATCAACTGCTAACGGAGCTTTAAAAAAAGCTATAAAGCTTTTATTGAACTTAAAAAGCTCGGAAATCAAGAAATATTCCATGTGTTAAACTCCTCACGCATTTAAAGATAGACCTGCACTTAAGCACGTAAATGAAAGTAATTACAGCTATAAGCTAGCTTAAACCATCCATAGACTGCGTTGCAGCGCTTTTGTCTACATACATACATACATATTTATAGTGCTTTTAACGTGCGAGTATTTGATATTTTCCAATTTTTTATTTTGTTTAATTAATTTTGCATACATATAATATTTCCATTTCAATTTCATATTACCAATATATCGATTAGCAAAGGTGAATGAAACTTGTTGAATGCCAACGACTTGGCCAGCCGCTACACCTGTTTAAGGTGTCGACGGAGGCAGTTACGCCGGCGCGATGCGGCACAACTGTGCACATTCCATATAACGGGTGATTTTTTAAGAGCTTGATAACTTTTTTAAAAAAAAAAACGCATAAAATTTGCAAAATCTCATCGGTTCTTTATTTGAAACGTTAGATTGGTTCATGACATTTACTTTTTGAAGATAATTTCATTTAAATGTTGACCGCGGCTGCGTCTTAGGTGGTCCATTCGGAAAGTCCAATTTTGGGCAACTTTTTCGAGCATTTCGGCCGGAATAGCCCGAATTTCTTCGGAAATGTTGTCTTCCAAAGCTGGAATAGTTGCTGGCTTATTTCTGTAGACTTTAGACTTGACGTAGCCCCTGTCTCTTATACACATCTAGATGTGTATAAGAGACAGGTTCAATTTCTTGAGATGAATTGTTCTCCGAAGTTTTCCCTCAAAATGGCCATAGAATCGCGAGCTGTGTGGCATGTAGCGCCATCTTGTTGAAACCACATGTCAACCAAGTTCAGTTCTTCCATTTTTGGCAACAAAAAGTTTGTTAGCATCGAACGATAGCGATCGCCATTCACCGTAACGTTGCGTCCAACGGCATCTTTGAAAAAATACGGTCCAATGATTCCACCAGCGTATAAACCACACCAAACAGTGCATTTTTCGGGATGCATGGGCAGTTCTTGAACGGCTTCTGGTTGCTCTTCACCCCAAATGCGGCAATTTTGCTTATTTACGTAGCCATTCAACCAGAAATGAGCCTCATCGCTGAACAAAATTTGTCGATAAACACATTTCGAACCGAACACTGATTTTGGTAATAAAATTCAATGATTTGCAAGCGTTGCTCGTTAGTAAGTCTATTCATGATGAAATGTCAAAGCATACTGAGCATCTTTCTCTTTGACACCATGTCTGATATCCCACGTGATCTGTCAAATACTAATGCATGAAAATCCTAACCTCAAAAAAATCACCCATTATGTATGAATGTTTGTATATTTGAATGCGCGGTTGATAATAATCGCTATCTAACTTTTTATATAAATGCATGTGTGGTCAAATGCATATGCATGAAGCGAAGAAACAAAGCTTAGACAATTAATGCATAACGAAACTCTCGATGTTTTCATACTTGCTTAAATACATACAAGCTATATTGTATATGTGTATGTATGTAAACAATAAATACATACCAGCAATTTGGTGGCATGACAGCACTTTAATATTAGTCTAGGAACTAAAAGCCACTGTCTTTAATTGGTTTTTTGTTTTATAAGAAAGCCGTAGTTTCGTCTGGGGATTACACAATTTAATTACGACAAAACAATTTTTGAATATTTTCCTATTTTACAAGCAGCTTTACGGTTTAAACTTTGCTTGTGGAACGAGCAACCTGTTTGCTTGAACGGGTATCGAGAAGATTGTTTTAATAATTAAGCCGCTGGCTGACAATGTGTCATTTTTATCGACATATCGGCGCAGTGATCCATATATATTTACATGCATACATGCATATATGCATATTACATTGTACACAAATATTTACACATATACATATAGCGGCAATATATTTTTATTGATCACTCACACCAGTGCATTTGTACAAATATTATTTGCTCACTGTAGTGAGAGTTTCATAATGCAAGCGAATGCATATTTCTGCGTCGGCAGCATGAAATTAAACGTGAATTTTTTATGTTTTGTATTTGCTTATGCAGAGCACCAAAAGCTGTGTGTGAGCGTGTTCTCTCTCTTACGCACACATATGTATGTGTGTGTTGTTCTCATCTGTTTGCGCCCGTTTGTTATGTCCGAGAAAAGTGAAGGTGCAATGGAAAATTTATATTTCTAACTCTCGTCAGAAAAGCACGATCCACTCTGAATCAATCTGCGGCAGTCGCGTGCGCTCTGCCATAAGTATGCTTTTAGCGGAGAGAGCTTTTGAGCTGCGCAGGCGAGCAATGCTTTATGGGCGCGTGTACTACTACACAGAGTGGTCGAAAAGTATGCGAACCATTGCACCATAAACCTAGTACAACTTTAACTCAAATATAATTTTGTAACAAACTCTCTTTCGATCATTTTTGCACTATACGAGGGGGTTTCAAAAGTGCGCCCTTGTTTTGTAAAAGTTTCAACAGAATCGGACACACCGTTTTGATTTAACAACCTGCAGAACATGGGAGGATGGAGCCTTTTGTAAAAGTTCACGTAAGTGAGGAAAATTCTCTGAGCGCCATTCACTTGGGATTGGCAAGAAGCTACTCTTTTACATGTGCCTCAAGCAGCTCACGATTTCCGTCTTAGACCAAGTATCTTATGGGTTGATAAAAAATATCCTTTTGAAGGCGAGCTAAAGAAAGAAGGTGTAACATCCCTCCACAGAGTTCTGCGCTGAGCTTGGAGCCTGCGATGTAAAAAATGAAGAGAAAAAAAGTTTTTGGGATGAGAGAAACTCGGAAATAACTATATAAGCGGTGAATACGTCAATAAAGAATAAAAAGAAGAGTCAACCATGTCCTCTAAGTGTAGAAAAATTTAAAAAGTAATACCCATAAAGAGCTCTTGATGTAACGAGTTTAATAGCGGATAACATGAAAAATGTGTACGATCTCGTATTAGCAGACAGCCAATTGAAGGTACTCATTATACCTGAAACAAGAGATCTACAGTCTCAAAGGATCGGATAGTTTATATCCATAACATGTTGAACCAATCTGTCGGCACCCTGGATGCCGTGCTTGCTCTTTTCGACCAAGACGTGTAGACATGAGATCACTTTACAGTTTTGAAGCTGATCTGGAGGAAGTACTGCATCGTTTCATAACCGACGACGAGACATGGATTCACTAGTATACACTATAGATTAAGAATAAATAGAAGAATGGCGCACCTGGCCGAAAATAGGACAGTCTATCTGGCGGTAGGGTGATAATCTTCATTTTCTGTAGATCACAAGGGTAAAACGTTCACTAGTTTCTCTTTTGTCAAATGCGGCTCTATCCACAGAATTCATTTGGTTTCCTAACATACCAGAGTCCTACGCCGGCCAGAAGTTTTAGTCGAATAAGGAGGTTTTCCGTGACACGAAGTTCTACTACAGTAGCGAGTTAGAAAGAGGTTATATTGACAAATAAATCAATTCTTTTACTAAAATTTAAATTTTTCTTTAAATATTCATCCAACTATCCAATCGAGTACGAATAGTATTTTCAAACACTGTGAGTTTCGGTATGTAAACAGTCATATATTCGACTATATGGCCGAGTGACTACTTACTCATTGCTCGCGAGAGCTCACTAGCGCAAAGAGTGTTGCGGCAGCGCATCCAACAAGTAGCAATGAGCTAAGCGCGCCACTCAAACGCTCAACCAGTCATATGTTAGCCGAAACTGCCAGAGCATTTGCATGAAATTAAAGATCTTGTTCGGAAATTAGTTCTATCCAGTGCGCCTGTGAAAGTGTTAGCGTAACGGCGCATTTCGTACCACAAACAAATCATTAAGAAGTGACGTCAAACACGCGCTGCGAATGCTTGAACAAACGAGTGGCGCGACGATCGACAACAACAAACGAACGAGCGTTCGGCAGCCGCCCACCGCGCACACAAACTAGCATTTGTATGTGTGTACTTGAAGAGCGCTCTCCACATACGAATATAATATATGTAAAAGCACCTCTTCGTAAGTTTGGTGACGAAGCGTTAAGGCAGCCAGTCGTAGTGAACGCGTAAAGAAACGAAAGTTTTTCATTTTCTTCGCTGTTTTGGGCGGCATAGCGCATACAGACGAAAAGCCTTGCTTGGCGGCGTGCTAACGCTGTCGTTTCGATTTTTCGCTTCACCATTTTTGTGCGCGTATCGCTCTTTACCGTTTGTTGTTTGTTTTTCGCGCATTGCGTTGAGCACCTTTTCGCTTTTTTCCTTACACGTTTTTCGACGTTTCGCTCGGTGCTTGAACGCAGCGCAACTGACCGCACAAAGTTAGCGGCGCGGCAACAGCGCGCGATCAGAGAATTTCTCTAAATAAACGCAACACGCTGGTGCAGTTCAGTAACGCGTAAAAATTTCACTGCAACGGTTTGCTCCGCCAACGGCAACGGATGATGACTGATATGAGCGACGATTATAGGAAAGAAACAACTTGTTGAAAACAGTACACATATGCTGTGGTAGATAAAATTTGACAAAAAAAAAAAAAACATATTTAAAAATAACTTTTTACAATATTCACAACATTGCAGTGAGCAAGAGGCGAGCGCAAGATATATCAGTGTTTATTTTTTTTGTGAAATGTGCTAAAGAAAAGTATAGCAGTGAGTGCGTACAAGAACAGTGAGTAGCGACGCAGAAGAACACATACGAAAGGTATAACACGATCGCCAAACGTGCGCTCTACTGATCCTGGCGAATTGTCGTCCAACTTCGTGTCAATTTTCCGTTGCGTATACGTCCAGGAGTGCGCTCAACGCCACACAATACTTCTAAACAACAAAAATAGTTTGTCAAAAATCGTAAACATGTCACATCAATGCAGTTGCGGACGCGATCTCAACAACAACTACGTGTCCTACACAAGCGCCTACGCCAACGGCAGCTCCAGTCTGGATCGCGAGACGAGCAGCAGCCTCTCGGGTGGCGGCAGCAAGTCAGCCATGTCTGGCAAGACCACACAACTAACAGCGAAAGTGATGTTCGGCACAGTGGGCGCCATCAAGGACCTGCGCGAGAAGGAGAAGTCGCGCCATGCGACAACGCGCGCCAGCGATAGGCGCAACTGAGCGTTAGTGTGCAGAGACTGAAGGGGTTGTTGGCTGGGTATTGGGTGAGCATGCGCAAGGATACGAAACGTGGCTAATGGCGGTAAAGTGTTAAGTAGTTATGGCGGCGAGTTCGTTGCAGGCAGAAGACATAGGGTTTAAAATGCTGTGGGACGCAGGGGCGGCAACGAGATGTTGTGGTCTACATACAGTGTTGTTAAGCATTGGTGGGCGTGCAGGGGTTTGCGGCTGTTGAAATGTAAAGCGGTTGTGCGTAGTCAACAGGTATTCGCGCATATGTATCATCAGGCATTACGTGGTCTGCAGCGGTGACGGCGCGAAGCTTCTGGAAAATCCTAGCTGCAATTGTTTCGTCGCTATAACTTTTCAAAACACATACTAGTAAACTGTTTATTTGCATGTAAGTGGGTAGTTTAAGTGTTTTGGCGCCTTGAAGGACTTTGCTCATGCTACACTAGGAATAAATGTAAATATTTGCTAACCAATTTAAATTCATAGTAACAATTTATACTAAGTGCACCCTGTGAAAATTTGTAGTACATTGGTTTTTGTTATGCAACAATTTACCATATATACTTATATACATATCTATGTATATCTGCTACAGATAAAATTTACATGTTTACACCAAAACATTGTATATTATGTCTTAATCTAATTTAATTTTTAAGCTATAATTTTAAATTTTCAAAAAGCAATTTTTTACATGTGAATTATAGAAGAAAGTAACTGCCGTTCAATCCAAATTTTTATTTATATATAAATTATATATAGCGAGAACTA